CACTTGACGCGACTCACTCCCCATAAAAACACTCACCGGTGCGAGGGTCGAGGATGGAAATATAGGGAAACTTGTTCAGCTTATAGAACTGGATGTATCTTTGTCCCTCTTCACTATCATGATATACCTGTAATGAAAGAAAATGCACAACACAGAAATGAACGTCACACCACATGAGCTTGAGTGACATGTATGTGATTAATTAAAATTGACTATAATAGAAGAAGTAGTGAGTACTGCTAATATCATTAACTTGAAAATCCTCTCTGTATATACAGTCTATGGTATTAACATGCCAACTTTTCCACTTGAGCCAGCAGGGGGGCTGTTATGCACTTCTTTATGCACCGTTTCTGCTGCTGTCCCGTCGATGGTTTCTATTTTTGCCGCAACTGACTAAATTAATTACAAAATTAATTTCTTATATGAATAATGTAGTACAAGTTCACCCATCAAACCAGTTTAGCAGCTGGACGCTTGCAAAAGCATCACAGACCGCATACGACCCTGCGATTCGAGACTGCATACCTGCCAGAATATAAAGTGTTCTCTGATGATGGTCTTTACTGCGTCGTTACTCCAAACATCCCTGTTGAGGCACTGGCAGGCAAAGTCCTGAACATTTTGAATGTTGATCATTAGCCATTTGTTCTCCAGTTGTCCGCAGTCTTTTGCCTATAGTGGAAATATAGAATCAGAAAAATAAACACTGGATTTAGTCTTTAACTGAATGATGAGATTGTTAAATTGGCACGTTTAGATAGAGACCAGAAGGGCATATACGGTTAAGCTACAGGTACAGGAGACAAATAACTAAGTTCTCTTTATGGAAAACAATGATGACCATCTACATCAGTACATTAGGCAGTGTTCCAACATATAGCCTTTACTTGGACTGGCCGCCCAGATATATTAACAGCTGTCAAGGTATATTTGTGACCCATTTTAGCATTTTGCAGAGAAACACAGAAAAGAGAACAGAAGCAAAAATAGAGCAGATTCAAGTAGTGAGTAAACACCAAAATAAGGTGGAGAATGAAGTAGAATTAAAATGGTAAAAGAACCTAGAAAAAATAGAAATGTAACCTGCTACACCAATCTAGCCCACAACCTCCCACCCCAAATGCCAGGAACCTCCGCTGCCAAAGTTACACTGTCAATCTGTGGGAAACACTGACTGGTATGTGATCGCATCTCACAGTGGGTATGCACATTCAACCAGAGAGGGTAAAATGCAAAATCAGAAACGACAACCTGCATACTCAGTCACTTCAATACACAGCACACCTGGTTTCCCACCTGTGCTCTACACAGTCACCATCTGAAATTTCACTGAAAGGAAACACACAACAGAATAAAGATGTGTGGTGTAAAGTGTCCGGTGAGTTGCTCCTCACCGTCTCAAAGCTGCCTTTGTGCATGAGCTCAATGGGGGGACGGAAAAGGTCTGCCAGGGTGCTCAGTTTCTTATCCACTGTGGCACCGTTACGCAGCTCCTGTTCCTGGCGAACTAGGAAAAGAACAACATTCATAGGCTTTATAGGAAGTAAAGAAGCCGTGAAAAAGGTTGCGACAGAGGGAAAAGTGATAGATTTGTCTTGTTGGTTGTAATTACGCAGCATTAAGTTATACCACATTCGCAACCGACCAAATTCTTAAAGCTGGGAAAGCTTGAATTTTACGCACTTGTTTCTGTTTGGAAGTCTCGGAAACCATCAAATATAGATCGAGCAGGTCTTCTTCGCTTTGGCACTGCATGTATAACAGACACATCAAAAGTCATGTTCAGCAGATGACGAGAAACCGCACAGCTAATAACCACAATTAAGTTTAACATTTGCTTGCACGGGGTCAAATAAGAAAAGAAGCAGTATAATACCTCCAAACAATGGTTCTGGTTCCACCAATATGTCCTGCTTCTGGGGAATGGGTGCTCGTACTTCACTGAGACATAAGACAATACATACAGTATTAATATAAGAAGCAAAGCATTTATTATCAGTCAAGTTACAAAGATACAAGCAGCATCCCAAAGTTTACAACAAGTCTTAACTACGAGAGAAATATAGGAGTACTATAAAGAAATCACAGTGTATCTTTTAGATACTAAAACACTGTATTAAAAATGGTCAAAAAAATTATAAGGATGTGTCTGAGGCAAGTCTGTGAAGAAATAATCAGCTTACTCTGAAGGGGGAGCTCTGCTGCTTGAAGCTGCTGAACTGGAGCTGGTGCTGGGCTCCTCTGCAATCCCGCCCCCGTCCAGAAACATGGTCACTGCCATCTCCAGGTTGTTGTTGCATGCTTCCAGCATATGTTTTCCTACACTCTCTGTGGCCCCTAAAAGAGTGTTGGACACAGGCATGCTGATGTTGAGAAATATTTATAGACAATCTGTAATGCACATGCACACTGTCCATGTTAAGGAAATCATCATCTATAATGGAATGCTGTGTTTCACCAGTAACCTAATATAATAATAATATACTGAAATAATCTATTTAAAAGGACTATATTTATTTTTGCATGTTGCCACTTACACATTGTGTATACATTTACCTCCCACACAAAACATCAGTGATGTAGTAGAATTAAATGGTTTGCATCTCTTCTGTACATCGAATGAAGCAGTTCAAAGTACCATATAACCATATTTATGTGTTAACATGTTTACTACATATCTTGTGTACATATCATGTGTGTTTGTGTGTGTATATACATACACACACACACACACACACACACATACTGATTACCACTTTTTTGTTTGATTACTTGCCTTTCAAATCAGGCCACTGGTTTTTATTAATTTCACTATTTTAATAACGCAGAATGAAACTTTCCAATTACAGGGTCATATGAAATGCAACAACAATGCAACGTTATTAATCATATATATATATATGGATTACAACATCTCCAAAAAGTATTTGCAAGTTGACTGCAACATGGTCTGCTTAAGGCAACAGCAGTAATGTAGCTATGTGATATGAAGTTGATAGGCTAAAACATGCAAAAACACCAAAATTGTCCTTTAATAGCTTAAGATCATGAATCGCAACAATGCATACAACTATGAGATTATTCTGAACCTAAGATAACACTTGATCTGAGGTTTAACTTCAGTCTTTTTAAGCGTGCAGCGTCTTTTGCCCACAATGGTCTTTCCGCGTGTACTGCGCATGTCCGTTTCACTTTCCAAGTGTAGCAGCAGCAGCCCCCGAAGTGAGTCTCCTCTTTTCTCCGTTAAATAACTTAAACCTGTAACACTGTTCATCGTCCCAAAGCACACATTATATACAGGACATCTGAGCGAGTAGTCGGAGAGGGAGAATGTGCTGAGCGAGGTGTAGTTAAGTCACAGTGAAGATGACAGAGACACAACATGAAGCCTGGCTGCTGATGAAGAGGGAAATGTTACACAGACGACGTCCATTCCACATTTATCAAACATGCAAAGCAAGAAGGAGCAGAACATTAGCTCCGGGCTAGCGAGATAGTGTCTATAATGAGAACCACAAAGAAAATCTAATCTTTTTAAGTGGCCGTAACAGATACTACTCAAAGATGGTGGTTTTACGGTGCTTTTTGTGAGTCTTTCACATGACTTTATCAGATAACTGACTGTGCTTTTTCCCCTCTGCAAAGCATTGACAGCGCAGGGGCCAGAGCAAGACTTAACGTCCGTTTTCTTACGCAGGTAAGGACATTTCATGGTTTATTGGACAAGGGAGGGATTCCTGATGGACAACCCAAACCTACTTAATAGATAAAACGCACAATAAAAGGTTATTTTTACCTGTAATTGCTGTGAATTGTTGTATTAACCCGTTCACCCCCGGAGCTGAGGTGTCTCCGAGCGCCGCCATCTTACCGCCACAAACAACAACATAAATGTGGCGCATGCGTTACGCCGTCCTTTTTTCCCCCTTGCCTGGCGCGGCGCGAGCCCCATGTGTCACCAAAGTGTTGTGCTGCATTGTGGGTTATGTAGTTCAGTAATCAAAAATCGTTTGTTACTGACATATTAATTATTCATTCACAAGATGTGGTTATTTCATAGGTTTTTCCTGTAAATTTATAATCTAATTTTAAATTAAATATTATATGTATAATATTTATATACATATATAATATATTATACATATAATATATTAAATATTAATCTCATGGAGACTAACACTGTTTGATCTACAACCATTTTTATTAGATATATTGATAATGTATATATTAATCCATGCAGTAACAGACCTAACACACATAACAAATGCTTTTAAGTGTGTTGCATTTTCTGGAGCAGCATTATTTTGGTCTCATGGTACATGGTGAAAAGTTTAAAAGATTTTCTGTATTCATGAAAAAAAAACTGCATTAGCAGGCTAATAAGTATCCTTTAAGATTTTACATAAAATTTTCGCCAGTAGTATTAATTATCTAATTTGGATTCAGAAGCTCAGATAGGAAAACACCATTGTTATTTTTACATGCAGCTTTAGGAAAAAGGGTCTTATGTGCAGAATGATTGATTAGTTTGTTGCATTTGATGTGATGGTATATTTTGTGATTAGCAGGATGAAGTAAATTCCTACATAATTCAGTTGCTTATCATTCTTGATAAATTTTACAAATATCACAAATCTACATGGACTGGCACCTTAATTAAAGCTGTGAAGAACAAAAAGGCTAACAACACTATTAATAATTTCAATAGATTTTAACTTCAAAGCTAGTAATGTATTTCAGAAGCATTTTTTGTTATGTGTTTAAAATTTCTCCTATGTGTTTCTCCATTGTTGCCAACCCAGCTTTAAAGTCACTTTAATTGATACACTTAATGCACATCCCCATGCTTGTATGTTTGCACTACATACTACGTTTTGGAATCACTATTGTTGTACCTCTTTATAGTAAATAAAGTTAAAATAAAATTTAACAAAATAAGGTAATAGGATATAGTGTGTACTGCATCAGTCATGACCAAAAACATTTAAACTACAGTGCTCTTTAAGTAGTGTAATTTTATTGTTATTTGCATAATACATTCAGTTTGAAAACAGCGTCAACCAAGTCCAAAACCTGAAGACTCCGTTTTAACAACAATGAGCTATTAGCAATTTGAATAATTGCTCATTCAGTGACCCATCAAGGTCAAGTTATCTTAATTATGGTATCTCTCACAAATTTGTTGTGCTGCCTGGCATAAACAAGAAAAAAAAAGGATTTCACTATATAAAGGGAAGATGAAGATGGCACTGACTTTCTACATCATGAGATGTCCAAACTATATTTACAAATACACAAAGTGACACTTCCAACACCACTAGTCAACTATAAAGTCATTATACTTAAAGCTGAATTAAAAATAACATTAAATTCATATCAATAATGCACAATATGCTTCAGTTTTGCTGATAGTCTGATATGGGCTCATACATGTTCTACAGCTGAGTTATGGTCAAGATCACTAACCATGAACAACTGGATTTAAAAGGTTTATAATCATAATTTCAATTCCATTGAAAAAGAGCAAATTGTCAGCTAAAGACAAAGACGATACAAACCAGCATATTATGCTGTTATTTCCTCGCCTACAAAGGGAGATGCAATATTAACTCAAGCCTCTTTAACAATCTGAAGGCCCCCTATACATCGAGGTAAAAGGAATTAGATTATGGTCAATATCTTACATTACACAGAAAGCACTTAGCTTAGCATTCTCCATGTAAACCCGACAGTGCACTGAAGTCTGCTGCCTCTGTACTGTGTCCACATGTGACCTTTTAGCCCTGAGGTGGGAAATTATTTTTAATATAAAAGCTGCATCAGTTTTTAATTTTAACAGGGAGTAAATCAAGTGCACTCAAGCATTATATACAGGTTTTGTTCAAGGTGGTCATCTTAGATATACCTGAATATCAATTTTTAAGAAATATTGAAGGCCAAATGAGAACACAACAGAATGTATCACTTTACTGTGACAATTTTTTAATTTGACAAGTTTAAATCTCTAAATGTGTATTAAAAATGTCTGAGTATGAAGTAATTTATCTTACAATAGTGTGAGACCAGTCCTGCCATTAGGAAGTAAATTCACTTCAATAACAATCTACATTTTAATGTTATCACCTCAAAAAAAAAGTATCAAAAGGGAACCAAAGCAGTAATCAAAGATTTGTTCAAGGAGCAAAGTCAATAAATAAGGTGGGTGATCACCGGTTACAAAAGCATCTTTATGGACACATTACATGATTTTACATTCTTATGAGCTTTATTTTACTGCAGAGGTCACTCTTATTAATCAGAAAATGGGCCTAATGGAACAGACGAGGCTACGGAGCAACAAAATTTGCCCTTCATCAGTAAGGATGCTAGTTTATTAAAACAATTAATCAGTTTTTGCTGTTTTCGGCGTCATTTTAGGCTTAATTTGAAATTTCTGTGCTAACACGTTCAGGACGGGTTTGAAGTGTGTTGGAACCAAATGAGAGGATAAGCAGTATTCTGAAGATTAAAATAGTTAACTTATATTTTATTATGGACTTTCCCTTTAATGTTGATGTTTAATTGTTCTTTCACCCACTGTGTACCTCGTGAGACAAGTCTCAACTCATCTCTCTCATCAAATTGCCCTAGATAGTTAAGAATGCCAGCCTTTCCTCACTCATGATAGCAGTGCAACTTCAACAACGTGCTAAAGACTGATTTCTTATTGCGCTTATGGGCACCGCATGACTGAGGAAAGAAGGTATCTCCATCCTGTATCCCACATGCAAAACAATAAAAGAAAAATAACTGCAGAGGAAACGTGAGGAAATGGGTGAAGGGTACTTTTAAGGAAAATCATATTAACAGTTCATACAGTTCAATAAATAAGCTTCCCCCACAGTAGCATAGATCAAGGTGTGAATGAGTGCATACATGCATGTTGAGTGAGCCATGGGTGAGTGAAATGTTGGAATGTATATCTGTGTATGGAGTGACTATATGATTCAGTGAGGCCAGCTTGTTTCAAGATGAACACTGTGTTTGTAGGTAGGGCAGGCTGGGAGGTGAGGGCGAACACAAGTTGGCAGGTGAACTGTACACTGCAGTTTAGAAGCGGATGAAGGTAGCGTCGATCTGGCGTACACTGGGCAGCGCCAGCATGATCTTCCGCCGGTATTGTGGATCCTTCTGTAGAGGGTTTCTTTCGAGATAGACCGTCTCCAGAGACTTGGCGTTCTTCAACTCATCAAGATCTGACCAGTTATCTATCTGATTATCGTTCATCTGGGGAGGGAGTGAAACGCAACATGGACACACTTAGTTTGGTCTTGCAAAGTAGATGAATTAAACCGATAATGTAACATAATAATTTATAACATAAATAAGCTGATTTGGTAACACTTCACTTTTAAGTCCCCCCATTTAGCATTTATTAGCAGCGTATAAACATTTAATAAAAGGTTTATAACACACTATAATGTAGTTGGAAGTGTTTATGGATGTATTTGTGAACAACATAGACTGCAGTTTTTGATTAACAATTCTAACTCCTCATGTGGGCAATAATAACTGGATGCTGGTGTATGATCAGATAATGAATGACAATATGGTAAAACACAGTTGCAAAAGATGTTTTCATAGGCATAGTTATAATTGATGATGAATAGATGACATTAATAAAATGGCTTAAAATGTTCCTATAGCTGCTTTACAACTACATTCTAGTATGTTATTTTATTAATTTATATATATATATATATATATAAATAAAGGACAACACACATTAATCAACATTGCTGTAAATGTGCCAGTTTTAGCCAGCTAGCTCATTTTTAACTGCAGTCCTTAGGCAAGATGTTTTGAACTGTTTTTGTTAGGAACCATCTATTAGATGTTTATTTACTTTATTTATTTGTGCATATAATGCTAAAACTTTTTTCTGTTGAATTAGTGGTAGTATTTATCAATGAACCTAATAATGCAGTTTGTAAACGGTAAATTAAACAGTTGGTATTTGATTTTGACATTTTGTTTTACTTTACATTTTTCAACTGTCATCATGACCAACGCCCCTGGGGTCTCTTGGTTCATGTGAGCAGCCTTGAAGCTTTCAAAATGGCCCCCGGGGATGTGTAAATACCAACAGAGTTGGTAGACACAACAGGAAACTATAAATTTATCCTTTTAAACTTTAACAATTGCATCGCTTTGTAAATCTAATCTTTGTGAGCTAATTGTACTTTCCTTTGAAAACCAGAACTTTAAAAAAAAGCATGCATGTGCAGGGCTGGACTGGGACAAAAAATTGGCCCTGGTATTTTTGACCCAGGTGGCCCACCAAAATCGGTCGGACACCCCTCACCAATACACCATCCTTCCATTTAGGGGGTCAGATTAGGGGTGTGACGAAACACTGAGACGTGACATTGCACAAGATTGGTGGCCATGACTACAAGACAAGATTTGTTGTTTAATTTAATTGTTTAATATGTCTACTATTTAGAAAAAATATTTGTTGATGAAGATTTTGAGCATTAAACACTTAATTTCCTGCATTCTGGAGACATTTTCTGCACCAATTTATGGTGGAAATGTTTATAAAGGGAAGCACAAAATTCAGGTGGCAGGTGACAATTCAGAATATAAAAATATAATAGAATGCAGTAATCAGTAGCTTATTATTTTTTTTAGCTTAAGTTACTTTTTTTGGACAACGCAGACGTTTCTTCTATATTTACAATGCATTGCAGGCTTATTGTGCAAATAAACCTTTCTCATAGCATTTACATTTTTTATTTATATTATATTATATTTATATTGTATAATACACCAATATAAAAAAGACCATCAACATCACAAATGATTGGTACCCAGAACTCCTGCAGGTCTGTCAGATGACTGATGTTTTCAATTTTCTTTACTCGATTGGCTGCAATGTCCAGGGTTGTAAGCTTTTTCTGTGAGGGGAAACAAACAGTGTTTGAATGTACAGAACACACTTTGATGTTTACAAAATACAAGATGAACAGTTTAGTATTCAATCCTTTCAGAAAAAGGCTCTGGAATTTCTGCAACTCACATTGTTCTCCAAGCCCTCAATGACCTCAATGCCATTGTGGCTCAGATAGAGCTCTTTCAGGCTGACAAGGTTCTGTAGACCCTCAATTTTAGTAATCCGGTTACTCTGTAAAGAAATGTACGCAAAATGATTAACAAATGTTTCCATATACACACTTCAATTGTACTCCTGTAAACATTTGGACAGGTGTTGAAGAGAATCAGTGTGAGAATACCTGAATGCTTAAAACAGTCAGGTTGTGTAAACCCTCCAGATTCTGAAGTTTAGTTATTTTATTGGTGCCAAGAAACAAACTCTGCAAAGACGCAAGTGTATCCAGGTTCTCTATGACCTGTGAACACAACAGAGACTCAAATAAACACAACATAATGCTTTTATAATTATTTCACTAATGTCCTATGATATCTTATTTTACACATGTTTTAATATGTGTAGTATTGATTTGACAAAATTTCTCACTGCCAAAGAGACCCTTAATGTCATACCCGGATGCGATTGGAGCCCAGCTCCAGCATCTCCAGGCTTGTTAAGTGTTCCAGGTTGGCAATGCTGCTAATTTTGTTGTGTAGCAGAAACAGTTTCTTCACCCGAGTCAACTGCTCCAAACCCTCCACCTTCCTCAGAAGGTTGAAGGATACGTCGAGCTGCCTGTGGATCAACCAAACAAATACGCTCATTAAAGCAAATTGTGAGATGTGGGTTCTTTGTTCTATGTCAGCCAAGTGAAAATTTCTACACCCCAAACAATCACTTGATACTACTTTGCAGTATGTATTTGTAATAAATAACTTGACTTTTGCCCTCTTTGGATGGATCTCTATAACATGAGGAAACAATTGAGGCAAAGTTCTTCTTCTTCAGACTTACTCCAACTCTGTGAGGTGGTGTAGGTTCTCCAGTTTGCGGATCTGATTGTCATAGAGATCTAGTTCCTGCAGTGAGTTCAGACTGTCGAGGTTTTCTATCTTTTTGATGAGATTCTGGCGTAAGGAGAGTGTCTGCATGACAGATGATGAGAAAACAATGAAAAATAAGCAATTTTTTTCACATACAATTAACAAAGAAAAACTAATTCTGTTTAGTTTTTCTAGTGAGGAAAAATAAAGGAATAACCCCAGATTCTTCATACAACACATCAGTCCCTGACAGTGGCACCAAATACTGAGGTTACTTACTTTAGCCTTCTGTAGCACCTCCAATCCTTCAATCTTCCCAATACGACAATGAACGAGATCAACATCCTAGAAAGACAATAGACAGCTTAGGATGACATACCGTCTATAAGTAATAGTAGTAGTTATTAGGGTTCATTGTGTCATGTACAAACAAGCCATCAGCCCACACATGGAAGTTACAGACACCAAAAATATAGTTGCAGTAGTAAAACATTAGTCAGTTTTTAAAATATAACATTGCATTCGTCTCCTCTACCAAGCTCTACAAATAAAACCTACCACAAAGTAAACCTCCTAGAACACAACTGCAGTATTTTATAAGCATCCAACCAAACGAGTCATTAGAGATGAAGGACGTTTTACTACAAAGTATTAAAATATAAACAATGTGACAGTCGCTACAACCAAACAGCAGCAGTATTTCCAGACCATCTTCTAACCTCTTCCTCTGGATCCAATGTTATGGTGTCCATGTCAACAGGAGACTCTTCTTTACCTTGAATGAGAGCAAGAATAAAGTATATAAACTAATCTGGCCACTGCGTCAGGGCAGTGTGGTCACAAGCATGAAATAGACACAAATGGCTTTTTTTAAAGCAGTTGAGAAGACTCGTGGTTATATAAATCTGCTGATGTGATGTGTTGGTCACGAACAAGTTGGCTCTATGAGCTGGCTCTTTCAAGTGAACGATGGGAGCCGGCTCCCGTCTGAGAGCCGATGTCATTAGTAGGGTGATATTTATTGTTATACAACTTGGATAGTTACTCTTGTCACGTCACACTTTTTAACCATTAATATGACAGAAAAATTCAATGTACTGCAGATTAAGAATCATGCGTATTTATTTCTTACAACAAGTACGAATGTAATTCAGTGACCAGCAGAAGAGGTACTGAATGAATAGCCTCTTGGAAAGGAACTGAGCCATAAGATCCCTTCAAAGAGCCGTAATTCCCATCACTAGTAGCTAGACTAACTGCTCTTTGTCACACTTTTGATCATGTCTGTTGAAGTGATATCACAGCTGTAAGCGTGACTTGTGTCCCTCTCTGTGTGGCAGTGCTGAAGATGTGATGATTTACTTGTGGTAGCGGGCTGATTGGGGTCCACATCGCCATTGATACTCCTCCTCCTGGTCTCATCATCACCAGACTCCTCAGACTCACCCCTTCTGTCCACTACAGTAGGCAGACAGAAAGAAAGAAGTGAAGCTTAATGCATAGATACAGTGTTGTTGCCTGATTATGTCTCAGTGACACATTAAGCTGATGCGCATGTAATATGATGCAACGGCGAGGCCCTGCTCCACCTCGCCCACTGTGCAGTCAGGGTGTATCATGTGGATCATCAAGCCTCTGTTTGGCTGTCACCGGGGTTTACAGAGCATGGTTATAAACTAGGTCATGTTTCTGCAGCCTGCAACATGCGAAAATTGCGATAACACGTGTCGGGATTACACCTACCACTGAATTCAATAGGTTAGTTAGTTTGCATTGTCGTGGGTGTGATCCCAGTTACATTTCCAAGCTCACCAGTTTAGATATACCTCGCAAGCTAAGGCTAGCTTACTCTCATTAACACACAGGCTAAATGCTGCTAACCATGTTGGCTAACTGGGTAGCTGATTGGACCACATGTTTATGGACTACATTTGGAAAATGTTATATGGGCGGACAAGCTACGTTATACATAAAATCCAGTTTTGGACCATTGGGCTGGACAATGCTGCCAGAGGAACTATAATTAGCGTAACGTAGATAAGCAGGACAGTGTGAGTTAACGCTAACTCACTAACGTCAGCTAACGAGGATTGTTGTTAGCCTGATAGCTAGCAAGCCAAGGATGAAGGTCTGGTTAGTAACAAGCACAACAAATCGCCGGATGTGCTTGTATAAAAATAGACACATTTCTCTAGATGAATGTCGTTTCATCAAGCTATTACAATCGTGGCACAGCTACATTTTTACACATTTACGCACCTTCCATTTCTTGAAGCTCTCCAACAGACCTGGAAGCCATGTTTCCTGTAAACAGTCCTAACAACTGCTCAGCCAATCCGGAGGCTAACACTGCGGTCAGGCACAAGGGGGCGCTGCTGCACTGCGCTCTCACTGAAACCAGTGTATACTCCTATCTATTACTATTCAGTACTACTATTTTTATATACAGTCTATGACTACTATCAGTGGTGGAAAAAAAGGAAGTACCACTACTCAAGTAATGTACTTAAATAAAATGTGAGGTACAGTAGTGCTATTTTCTACTTTTGCTTAATTAATTACAGAGGAAAATTAACTTTTGGGTCCATTAGATTTATCTAACTGCTATAATTACTAGTTACACTGCAGATTAGCATTTATATACAAATTGTATATGATGTATCTTATTTAAATTGATATTTAAATACGCAGCAGTATATGCAGCAGTTTGCAGTTTAAAGCAAAATGAGCTTGACATAGATCTACAACAACATTACAATGCTGTTTATGCATCACTATAGTATATATAGTGTGTAATGGTTGTTTTCTGCTTAATGGGTAATTTTCTTTATGTAGTATTTACTTGGTACAGACCATTTTACCATTTCCATTTAACATTTAACACAAACACTCCAAATGGGTCCCTGTCCTGATGCAGGTTTTTCTGTGGTGTCATCAGGGTTTTAGGACTAGGGGGGCACAGGGGACTGAGTATACAGGGCCCTCATGTGAGGAGGGGCCACAAAGATACTAGAATGAATAGCGTGGATGTGGGGAGGGGTCCATAAAGAATAGCTGTGCATAGGGTCCAGGATTTTCTGCTACGCCCCTGAGTGTCATAGCTGACCATGTTTATAAGAACTGCATGGAAGATACATATGCTTCACATAAAAAAAGAAGAAAACAAACAGAAGTATTACATCATTTAAAGTGAGCAGGACAGTGAAAGCATAGTGTGTTCTAAGTAATTTTATTACATATCATTGCAAAGCAACCCGTATTGAATTACACGTGTCTTGAAACAGCCTGACTCCTGAAACCCCCACTCTCTGTGAAGTCCTCTGCACTCTCACAGCAGACTGTTTATACATTCACTTCCCATCTCTCCTGCATACCTTCCATTTTAGGAATACGCCTCCATAACGCCTCCATTGAAGCACTTAGTCCGACGGTCCGGTTACAACATCAGTATTCAAATTGTCATTAGTTGTAACATGTGACGTTTTACATGTACATAACACACACACACGAACATACAGAAGATGGACAGGAACTACTACTATGACAAGCATCTACTGTAGATACTAGTTCAGCATATCTAAACATTAGCATGCTGCTATGATAACACAAACTTTTTATATGAAGCATCATATATAATTCATACTTGACATAATGTTTGGATTGGCAGACTGGAAGACAGAGATGAACAAAATGTTCCTCTTTATCAGACTGATAAAAACAACAGACTGTGTTAGCTAGGATAAGAGAATGTTTAAAAGTTTTTCTTACTAATATGAACAATAACTGACAACACGCAGGATCATGCTTAACTAGTAATCTGGCTTAATATTTTTGGAAGTTGCATGTCACAGAATCATTGACAAGGCAATGTACTTATTAACTCTTATAAGAATAGCAACAAAAAAACAGAATGTGTTTTTTTAATAAATACATTTAAAAATGGATACCATGAAGGACAAAAAAGTCATTGTACAGATACCTCAAACATACCTTTAATACTGTGTGTAGTTATTCTTGAGGAAATGATGAACACATAGGCAAAGTCAGATAACTAACAACCAAGTACCATAGATAGACATTAAGACATGTAGACTTTGTAATACTGTCCAACCATTTCAGAGGTGATCTGTCCTGATGTATAGTGGAGGGCCTATTCCAGGAGTCTGTTAACCTTGAGTTTTTTTTCTATTCAGGCACAGAGATCACTTTATCTCTTGGTCAGTTAATATGGAAACTTCACTGAAATGAAACTGAAATACCAAGTATTCAAAAAAGATGCACCTGATTCCACTTTTAGATCTGTATTTGATTTCTGTCTATTATTCTCAACATTACCTTTACATTGAATTGTTAAACCATGTCTTATCTTAAAATTTATGTTTACGGTTTTATTGTGATGTAGTGGTGGTAGTACAATTCCTGCATTTAAATATTTACTTAAACAAAACATAAGAAATATTATCAGGAAAATTTACTTAATGTAAAAAAGTTAAAAGTAGTATTATGCAGAAGAATGGCCCCTGTTAGTGTTAATTTGTTATTTATTATATTATCTGAATATTATCACTGATATATTAACGTGTAAGCAACATTTTAATGTTTTAGCTGGTTAAGGTGGAGCTATATTTCAACCACACTACTAATTATACATGTCAGATAAATGTAGTGGAGAAAAACATACAATATTTCACTTTGAAATGTAGTGGAGTACAAGTCTAAAGTAACAAAATGAACAAGTACGTCTAAATTGTACTTAAGCATTGCACTTAGGTAAATGTATTTATTTACCTTTCTCTATTGGCACTGCAGTATCTTGCAAATGGTAGATGTAGGCTATATTGTGTAATAATATAACCTATTTTATGTAAATCAAAAAAGACTTGTAACTCGACTTTCACTTTGACACCAATGACTTATGACTTCACTTGGACTTGGGCGTCTTGACCCAAACAGACTTGACACACTCCCCAAACAAATAATATTATGATATTAAAAAACACTATGTACAGTGCATCATTCAATTCATGACATGACATTTGTTTGTGTGAAACTATGCCTTACTTGTTTGTGTACAGGTTAATGCTTTATTAAATTTTTTTTTTTTTTTTAACTCTTGTTAAAAATATGAAATGGTTTTTAATTTAGTGAAGAGCACAATATGACTCGAAACTTAAAGTTTAGGACTTGAAACTTGACTTGGACTTGTTGGTCTTGACTTGAGACTTGACTCGGACTTGGACATTTCTTGGGACATGAGTGCTAAGACTTGAGACTTAGGCTACAATGACTTGGTCCCAGCTCTGACTTCTGCTGAAGTAAAGGCACTGAATAGGTCCAACTCTGAACCTGACACGCTTTGGCAACACTAAGGTCTACTGAGGTCCACTAAAGTCTACTGACGTCTACTAAGCTCTACTGAGGTCCTGCCACTAAAGCAAATCTGAATTCGGGGCTTACCTGTTGCCATAGTAACCGCTACTAAGACTTGATTGATCTGAAGCCTCTAACAGCTGTAAGGGTCAAGTGTAACAGGTTAGGGCACCGGTTGAGTTGGACATCTGTTGTGGTCACGTCTGACTTCAGGCGCTAGTTTGTTAAACTCCCTTTCTGTAGCGACAATTGTGAAAAACAGGAACTGTGGGCGAGGACCTGCCCGGCCACTTGTAACTACATTATCCAATCAGAAGCGAGACAGACAGAGGTTTAAAGAAAAGTCAAAGTGAAACTGTAGAGAGTGGACGACGGTTCTGTTGTTGTCTATTACTGTCCGGTAGAATTTGTACGAGGGTTTGTCTGTTTTGCTGGATGTATTCTTAGAGTGCTAGTTGCGCATAAATGGCTTAAAACAATCCTTGCTATTCTTAACTCTAGTTTGGTCCTTCCTTGACGGCTGATCGCTACTGGATTTAAAGCCGAAACAAGTCAGAAATGCATCTTCTTGGTATTCTTGTGCTGATGTTATGCGACATGGCACTCAGTGCCTCTCTTCCAGTAGGTAAGAATTGTGTCTCTGCATTGCATAGCTGTCCGGGGGAAGCTAATAGATTACACCAAGAAAAATTATTACACTTAAATCAGAAAGACGGACTGTTTGTAAACGACAAATTAGTTAGTAAACATCTAGGCATTGCAAGCCCGTGACGTTACCAATAATAACCTGTAGTATGCTATGTAGCCTTTTCATTATTAAACGATTACTACTGCTTGTCACCGGACAAAATGTTATACCGCTGAATTAGTTAGTATCATAGTATCATATAGCGCAGTGATTCTCAAAGTGGGGTCCGGGGACCCCCAGGGGTCCTTGAGAGGGTTGAGCTGGGTGTCCCCAGCAAAAAGGGGAGTTTAAGTTTAATCTTCACTATAATTCCAGTAACACAGTCACAGAGTGCATGACTGTTTTGGTCATGGGTTTCATACATGTTCTGTCATAAAACATCTAAACCCAAAATCCTATCAGATCGGTGATCCTGGGACAAACTCTTATCAAATGGGGTGCATGGTCTAATTGGTGTCAGTTTAGGGGTCCTTGATTTTGAGAACCACTGAAATTGTGTGACTACACCTGCACAATGTAAACAGCCCTGCAATAAATCCTGCCTGTGAAATTTTTTGTTTAGTTTTCCTTGCCAAAGAGGCTCTGTTTTACTTTATGGCCAGTTAGTGCTGGTGGTGTTTTGGACTGCATTAAATGATACATTTGTAAGGAAACATATTAGTGGAAACAAAAACTGAAAATAATCAAGATTGAGCCTCACAGCAGGAAGGTTGTGGGTTCAAATCTTTCTGTGTGGAATTTGCATGTTCTCCCCGTGTCCATGTGGGTTCTCTCCGGGTGCTCCGGCTTCGTCCCACCATCCAAAGACATGCAGGCTAGGTTAATTGGTGTTTCTAAAATTGTCCTTAGGTGTGAATGGTTGTTTGTCTCTGTGTGGCCCTGCGATGGACTGGCGACCTGTCCAGGGTGTACCCTGCCTTTCGCCCTATGTAAGCTGGGATTGGTACGCAGGATAAGCGGTTGACAATGGATGGATAGATGGATGAGAATAAGATTTCTTGTAGGTCTCTTGTGTTGGAGTAGTACCTGTTAAAAGTGGTGTCAAAGTGCAGGCTATTTTCTTATCCCACAACTACAGCAATGAATATGTTAATGTTTAGCAATGTAACATTTTAATGAACAAGTTACATTTTAGCCTTTTTTGCAACTCCTGTTAACATTACATAAACACATTTCAACTGGGAGTTAAAGCCTAACTTATTTTAACTCCTAATGCACGTGTCTTGGTTTTCTCCCATTAGATACGATCATAGTTCAGGTCCAGCGGTGGGGAGTGGTGGGTGCTCATCCGGTCGTGAATCAAGTCCTTCTCAACGGAGTCGCTCTCACTGGCACAAGCCAGGAAGCTGACAGCATTATCCAAACCATGTCAGCTGATGCACTCCCTCCAACTCTTATCAGTGTCAACCAGACTTCAGTAATAAGTAAGAAAAGCATCATGTACTAGTAATGAATGTAATTAATTAATTAATTAAAGTGAAAATAGACCAAATCAAAACTCAGAACTAATGTCATGGTCAGTCAATAAAATTAATTCTGATTCTGATGTTTGTCAATAGCCTCTGTAGGAAACCACACGGTCATTCGTTCTCGTGAATGTATACTGGAGGGATCTCAGATGCACTGGACCGACCGTGTGTTCTACGATGGGAAGGTCTATCTGACTCTGGAACACAATGACGTGTGGACAGCCCACGTACCGCAAGCACTGGCCCTCAAAGGGTTGTGGGACCAGGAAGTGCAGCGCACAAGGACGGACAGGATCCGCCTTGAGGAGGGATGCATCAAGCTAATGAGAGAGTTGAAGCTTTCTGAGGAGCAGTCAGGTATATATCCTTTCTGGCTTTAAGAGTTAAGAACCCACAAAGTACTTAATTATAGAATAATATCATGTCAGTTGACACTGCAGTATTATGCTATTAAATGGCTAGATTTGAACCTTTTTTAAAAAGTTACTATGTATAATTATATATTGGAGCAAACATAATGATGCAAAATAAGTAACCATATCAGTATAGACAGGTCATGAGTCATTCTGACCACGTTCTTAGTCAGGAATTCTGTTTAATGCCCTCAGGATGGTGCGACCTCGCCCCCCACCCCCAATGAAAACTAACAGATATGTAAATTATTTTATTCCTTCGGCCATCAGGCTTTTAAATACTGCTGATACTAAACTAGACCTGCCTCGTAAACCTCTGTATTTATTATTTACTTAGTATTATTATCTATTTATTTATTTATACTATGGTCCCTGCTCAGTCCATGTATTGTGACCTGTGTATTTGCTGCTTTGTTCTGGTGCCCAAATGCAATATGAGGTCATTGACAGTGTTTCTGAATGCTTTATTGATTGTCTTCTTGTCTCGTTTGATACAACTGGTAGGCTAAAACTGAATTGCCTTACGGGGATAAATAAAATTGAATTGAATTGAATATGAATAATAGACAGAAATTCCCTCCATAATGGCATCTTGATTTTAGCCCGTTACTTGATGCCCGTGATGTGAATGATCAGGTGCTTCATTGTAAGGCAGGACCCATTCTACATTATCTGTTCACTGTTATTGTCACTACAGTGTTTGTTATAACAGATTGAATTAATCACAATATTAGATAATACCTTTTCTTTCTGGGTCCATAGCTGTACCTGTCTGGTTGTTCTGATTATTTCTTGGGTTTAAAATCAGGAATAAAATAGCCTGAATTCTGCTCTGAGCTGTGGATTGTGGAGGCAGCTGATGACATTGGACTGTGAGTCATATGACCCAATGCATGCTAAAAAGAGAAAGGATAATAACATCAATTTGTCCATGTGATTGCAATAGTCCGCCACTACATACAGAAACAATGCATTTTATAATGAGTGACCAGTTTTGTTGATGTGCAGTCAGGTTAATATTTTTTTTATGTTTTCGTAGTTCCAGGGGCTCCTTTGATGTTTCTGATCCCAGTCTTGGCTCTCGTGGCATTTGCCGGACTAATCATAATCAGCCTTCTTCTCTCCGAAAACCAGGGTGAGTAAGTAAGAGTTTCACTTTCCATTTGGATAATAATAAAACAAGTAGTACAGCCTTTAATCACAGTTACATACTGAAAAACAGCCACCACAATACAGGGAAATTATTTAATTTATTCACCCTCATTCACCCTCATGAAATGCAGCATAACTCCTGTCACATGATTTTGGTATGGAGTCTCATACTCAAGGGGAAATGTAAAGCATAGTCATGTGTTTTTCTTTCTCGCACTCTCTGCCTAGGTCTGAGGCACCCTGGAGGTAAGACAACAACAACCTCTATGTTTACTCTTTTTTCCGCTGTAGACTGTGGACTTCTCAGTTAGCTGTCATGGGAGGAAATTCATAGAGACTTATATATTAAATGACCTCAAAACCACACACCCTTTGGACGGGCATGTTCTTTTAATTATCAAGGTGTCGGTATGTCAGCCATGTGGTTTTGTCCATCCTGATTCATTTGATGATTCTGGTCACAGGGAAGAGTGTCTCAAAAATAACTCCATTCATTCTCATAAGACTTTTATTAGAAGGGATCCAATAAGCTTAGTGAGAGTGTGCAGCTCATTATGTTGGCTTGTTTTGTTTTTATGTTGTGAATGTTGGCCTAATCTGTGCTCTTTGATTTCCTTCCAGGTGTTATTGGCTCAATTATACACTACCCTAAGGACATGACTGAAATGGATACAGAGATTAAAGGCAGTGGTTACCGTACCTTGTAAGTCTAAGCTCCAGCTGATTAACAGGCTCACGTTGGACCTTCCTACTCCATGTCTGCTGTTGAGTGTCCACTTACTGATTCAATACATCTGCAGTGTTGCTCCATGAATGTAACCAAACCTTTGCTCAAGTACAAACAGTCAGCTGTGACACACATGTGGTCTGGCGTCCAAACCACATTATTTTATGCACTTTAATGCATGGATCACACTATACACTGGTGCTTTTATTGCATTATACTTTTAACACTTGTACATGCAAAGAAGTGTAAATATGTTCACTGCCTGCAGCAATGTATAAGCTTTTTTGTACAACTGACATTTTCAACAGTTATAATTTCTGGGATAAGTTATTCAAGTAAACAACTTTAATGGAAATATACAATGAAAAGGTTCTGTTTCATGCATGCACAGTATCTTATGCAAGTTACGACAGAGAGTGTCACAATTTGTCTTACAGTCTGTACATAAAGCCCTGCTGAAATTAAGTGTTTTGTTTTGCAACTGATAGACCAGTTACAGTGAAACTGGATGGACTCGAGTGTGTCCAGTTATCCAAAGAGTCAGACTGTCCTGTGTTGTTGTTTGGTCGTTGTGATTAGATCTTTTCATATTTAAATATTCCTTTGGGATTCTTTACATTGTTGTGACTGTCAATATGTTTTCCCATTTTATTTGTTCATGGAAAATTGTAAGAAAATGTTTAATAAAAGATACTTTTATGGCACATTTGTTTTATTTTGTCCATTAGCGTCAGGTTACCTTAGTCTGTGGTACTAGGACAGCCTTTTGTTTCTGGACAGTTAGCTGATGCTTAGGTAGGTCAACATCTCACACATATCACCTCTTTTATTTAGCTTTGTACTCTGGTATAATGGTTTCCCCTCATTAATTATTGCTCCCAGTCTCTTTTTTTAAGCAAGCAAAAAGAGCTGAATCAGATGCTTTAGATTAGCATCAGGTCCTTATAAGGACCAGATGGGATATATTTTTTATAAAGTTAGTCAGTGACAGAATATTCCCTTTGAGCTGCTGCCTGTGCAGAGTCAGCATCATGTTAGTCCCTTTATGGTGCTCACAAGATAATTGTCCAGATTAAACTGTTAATGCCGAGGTTAATGAACAAAGAAGGGCTCGCTTATGTTTAGTGGAAGCCCATTGAGAATTAATGCTGTCGGTCTATTTTATTATCAGGAAGAGATGGTTCTTGGTTGCTGCAGAGTGATTGTTTATTCACACAGACGACAGTTTATACGTCACTGTATGTATCTTGCATAGAGTCTGTATTATTCTCTGTTTATTAGTAAGGTATTCTGTGTTTATTGATTGAAATTATCTCTAAAAACACAACTCTAGTTGTACCTTTTGGACCATCCATATTATGCATAAGGTGAGATTTTCACCTACACTTAATCACATAATCGTTTCTAGTCAAAGCTTTATTTCACTTGGTAACGCCTATGATTTTGGCATTACTACCGCAAGAACATTTGGTTTTAATCAACTTTATTCAAAGTATGGCATATAAAGGACAACAGAAAATCTAATAGGACATTTCAGCATTACTACTGCAGGTAATGTCACTCTCCGTAGCTTGGCAATCAAAATCTTTTCAATGGGCTGTGAATGTCTAAGCCATTTGTTAAACGTTCTCCTGTTATCCTCTTTGATTTTCTTAATCCAATCAGATAACTCAACATACTCGTCATAATTTGACAGTTGATCACCAAAATTATATTCATTATGGCTCTTTTGAAATAATAAATCCAGGGTAACTTAATTATGATTGGATCAAAAAAGTCTCATACAGTGCTTATAATAGGCACCAACAGCTTTGTTATTTTGCAGATATGCAAATTCAAAGATAATATTCCAGTATAAAATGAGACTTCAACTGAAATTGATCTTTTTGATGCTTCTTTGAACCGGAAAATGATTAAGGTTGTTATTAAGAAATAACACAGGATATGTTTTTGAGATGTCATGCTCGAATCTCTGTGACACATTTGTATCACAGCACCCTGTGTGATTTAAACTTATATCGCCTTCAAATACATGTCTCAACCATAAACTGTAGGTCTCAACCTTCAAACCCAAAGTACAAGGTAGACTTAGAATAAGCAAATAAAATGCATTTGATAATCTGTCTAACATGTCAAAGTGAAGGAACCCAACACACTAAACTCAGACTTCTACTGTTTTCTTCTGTTTTTATTTTTTACTTTCATAGTTTACATTTCACACCCCTGATAACACTTTGGTCCACTAGATGGCGACAGATTTTTAGGGTGGAATGTTGTTTTGAGGCGTTGACCTATCAAGAAGTTTCTTCCACCAATCGCATTAACGCATTCGTAAACGTTACCATAGCAATGCCCTGATTGTAACGGCAGCTCCTTGAATGAACCAATCGCAGGAGTTCTCTCTGGCATTTAAACCGTGTGGCGTCATCGTCACGAAATTCAAAATTAGGAAAACGACGACAGGGAAGCCAGTGGTGCTACAGCGTATGCCACGTTTTCTGGCAGAGGTAAACTCATTTTTGTTTATTTCGTGCCACTTTTTGATTCACGCAACGATAATTAAACCTTTAACGTGGCTAATGCTACTGACGCAACGTTAACTTGTACTCGTTTAACGTTACTTTAAGTTAATGCTAACGTGTTTTCGCTCACTTCAGGCTAACGTTAGGTTAACGGCACTCGTACTTATGCCTAGTAGTTAACTACAACGTAAGGTTAGCTAACTTGAAACGAATGTTATTTATCTTTTTTTTTTTAAAAAGAGACTTAGTTTTGTGGCTCCCCACCAGCCGTTAAGTTAACATTGAGATCCTAGCGTGAGCATGGATCGCCTAATGTTAACAGTTAGCTAACAGACCTAACGTTAATATTAGCCAGTTGATACTATTACACATTAGATGGACACTTATTTTGTGTTTGCCCTGATTTAACGTTACAGGTCGTGTAAAAACTTGGATAAAATGGCTCAGTTCGGGTTTGAAAACGATATCCACAGTGTCTTGAAGCTGGACATGCCCATCACAAACGCTCCCATGGCGAGGTGGCAAAGAAAGGCCAGCTCCTCAAACACGTCCGCCTTGAGCGGTTTGTCGCCCGGCAAATCTACCAATGTGTCGCTGAGTTCCTCAAAAACACCGAGCAAAACGCCAGGTACAACTCTATGCCTAGTGTATTAATGCAGCTTTAGACTAGACAAAGATCTGTGGCTGTATTTCTAGAAATTATAACATTATGTGTTTTTGTATCCTAGGCAAAAATAAAAAACAAACTCCCTCTAAGATGGGTGGCGACCGCTTTATTCCTATCAGAAACAGCAAACAAATGGATGTGGCAAGTTTCCTGCTCACAAAGGAGAATGAGCCTGTAGACACAAACAATACAGGACCATCGGTATGTTTGATATATTCCCCCATGATATGATCCTTTTGTAAGGATTTTTTATTGATTTTAGGCTATTTCTTTTAAAAGGAATATCAGAAAGCCTGGTCTGTATCACTAAATGGATACAACATTGAAGATGCAAAGATCCTGCACCTTGGAGGGAAGCCACTAAATGCTCCAGAAGGTAAGGATATTTGCATGCAACATGGTGCTCAGCAAGAATATTCATTAATATAGAAAATGAGGATTTGTATATCTGTAATTTACAGGCTATCAAAACAACTTGAAAGTCCTCTACAGTCAGGTTACAACTCCTGCCTCTGTCAAAAAGGCCAGATACATATCTTCAACTCCTGACAGAATCTTGGATGCTCCTGAGCTTCGAAATGATTTCTGTAAGTTTGGCACTTCAGAGGTTTTTCCTAATAACATTCATGCATGTTAGGAATTCTGTGGAAATGTATGCGTAACTGATCACATTTTTAGATTCAGTGATCCATGTATTGTAGTGATTTACTAATAAGATCACTATTCTTTCTAAAACTCTTATACTTTTTTTTTAATAAAGTTTATGCAAAAGGGCACTCTGTACACCAAGCATTCATTTGGTCTCCATTTCCAGATTTGAACCTGCTTGACTGGAGCAGTCGAAATGTTCTCGCTGTGGCGCTTCATAACAGTGTTTACCTGTGGGATGCCAGTCAAGGAGACATCATTCTTCTCATGAAGTTGGAGCGCGAGGAGGACTACATCTGCTCACTGTCCTGGACCAAAGAGGGAAGCTACCTAGCTATCGGCACCAGTGACTGCAAAGTTCAGGTCAGTCTGCTGATCAATGCACCACCTTAATTCATAAGGACACATGGCACTAAAATAATTGTACTTGTTTTCTTAGTTGTGGGATGTTGAAAACCAGAAGCGTTTACGCAGCATGGCCAGCCATACAGCTAGGGTTGGTAGCCTGAGCTGGAATGACCACGTTCTTTCAAGGTACGGTTGTTCATCTGTTAGACACTTCCCCGTGTAAGTGTGTGTTGGACTAAAGTGTAACTTTTCTCCTAGTGGGTCAAGATCAGGACACATCCACCATCATGATGTGAGGGTGGCAGACCATCACATCTTCACGCTCACTGGTCACTCACAGGAGGTGTGTGGGCTCCAGTGGTCTCCTGATGGGCGGTACCTGGCCAGTGGAGGCAATGACAACTTGGTGTGTGTATGGCCCCGTGTGCAAGAAGGCAGCCCCAGCCAGTCGGTCCGTTGCTGGAGTGAACATCAAGGAGCTGTCAAGGTGAATAGCTTCATACTTAAACTAGCTAAAGGAATTGAGCAACTTGCCAAAAATCTGAGACAACCTGATGGTTAAACGTTTAACATTTTTAAACCCACTAGGATAAAGTGTAAATACTTGTCATTAATCTTTTCCATAGACAGTGTAAAGTTTGAAACTGTTATTCCAGGCTTTAGCTTGGTGTCCATGGCAGCCAAATATCCTCGCATCTGGAGGTGGTACAAGTGACCGTCACATCCGCATCTGGAATGTAAATAGCGGCTCCTGCATCAGTTCACTTGACACTCAGTCCCAGGTAACCACACACTTCTAGGCCAGTTTTTGTTTCAGTTGTTCTCAGTCAAATGTAGTATAATTTTAACTTGGTGGCAACAACAAGCATCTCTCCTCAAAATCGCATTAACTTTTTCAGATCTCGTCACTGGTGTTTGCACCTAATTACAAGGAGCTGGTCTCTGCCCATGGCTATGCACACAACAACGTTACTATCTGGAAGTACCCCTCTCTCACCAGGGTTGCAGAGCTCGCTGGTGAGGAACTTATTTTTACTTGTTCACACACAATTTACTTTAAAGTGACATGCAGTGAACTGAAAACCCTGCACCTCAGGCTTTGCTGGTCTAAATGTATGATGGGGTTTCTTAATTGTAGGCCACGAGGACCGAGTTCTCAGTTTGACTCTCAGCCCAGACTGCTCTACAGTTGCAACTGTTGCTGCAGATGAAACTATTCGTCTGTGGAAAAGCTTCGAAGTGGATCCTGTTAAGAAGAAGGCCAAAGAGAGGCTGGGCAAATCAACTAGCGGTGTCATTCATCAGTCAATCAGATGATTTGCTTTTGAAGTTTTTTTTTTTTTCTGAATAATGTGCTGTTTTATTTAATCCCCAATAAAGATTTCTACCCAATGTGTGCCATAATTGGCGACTTTCTACTTATCAATTGTTTATACATGCCTGTTTAATGTGGGAAAAGTGAGTTTTTGCCTTAAGCAGTAATGTATTTGACCTTCACTTGGCTTTTATTGTATACCATAGACTGGCTTCTCTCACTTAATTGGCTTGTATTACTCTTATCATGTTTAACTCTACCAGTGACGTACAGTATCCTGACCCCTGTAATTATCCTGCAAATGTGTTCTTTCCCAAAGAAACTGATATGTTAGCTCTGTCATTAGGCTAACAGTGTGTGTTTTTTTTTTTTTTTTTTTTAAAAGGCTTAAACTGCTGCTATGTAGGTCAATGTCACATGAAAATTTAAACCCCTGTTGCAATGTCTTCAGACTACAGGAACCTATACTGCCATTGTCACTATTTACCTGCTGCAGGTGTAGTTTAATTGAAGCAATTTAAAAATCATGAACCTAATGGACTTCAAAATTCAATTTTACCTCTTTGGTTTTTATATATTTTTTAAGGCAATGGTATAATCCAGTGTCTAACTTGGTGATGTGTCACCACATCAATTCACTTTTTTTTTTTTTTTTTTTTTTTTGGGTTACTGATATCTGAGAAACAAGCTGAGGTCCTGCAAGGAGTGTACCAGTAATGTGTAACAATCCTATATTGTCAAACTATCCACTGCAGGGTTTAGTGTAACTGAGGGATTTGTAATGGTAAAATACTGAAACACCTGTTTTCAGTGATGAGATGGTTTTAGTTGTTTAATGCACCATCAATTTTGCATGGTGCCATCAGGAATGCTGTTAAAGGTGACCACCTTGAGAAGTGTGCAGATATATACATATATATCTGTAATTTATGCTGACAGTTTGCAGATGGAGCGAGATTCAGTCTAGTGCAGGTTTTACCTCTCACTTGACCAGCTGATTTCCTTGATACATCAAACCACAGGATGAATTTAGCAATTAAATGATTTGCTGTTTTATCTCCATAAAATGTTGGAAACCTCTACTTAATATGGATGACACCACTGCATTGCTGGCAGTAAGGAGGAAGAACTAGCTCATTTGTTTTTCTTTATCTAAAGGTGCATGTGTGTGCACAATTTTATCACTTTTTTTCATTGGGCCTCTATTAGAATCTTTAGACCCCTGTGGTGTAGAAAATTATGAAAAGATCAATATTTTTCCTTAACATTTTTTGGGTGAAAGGACAAAATATACACACACACACAATATATACTTTATTTCTGTGTAAGTCAGAAACAGGTTAAACTATTGAACATTGAGTGTTAACATGTAAACAGCTCCTGGACATACCTGAACATCTGTTCTCATTGATTTTTCTTGGCAAATATCAGATCCCATTTTAAAAAGGCTAGCAGTGCTTCAAAACTAGATCATCCTTCCACTGTCATCAGTGCACAAGTGTAATCAACAAGACAGTAAAAACACTGGTAGGTTTATCAATCAATATATATACATTCTGATATTCAGAAACAGCCATCTACAGCGTACCTTTATTTCACTCTAGTGTAATAGAAAAAACTCCTACCTCCATGTACTGTGCGCTGAGATAAGAGACTACACAATGTTGCAAAACTCAGAATGGATTAATATGGATGAACACAGCAGTGTATGTCACTAATTGTGCAAAATGCATCAATACTGTAATATACAGTAACATTTCTTAGTCACAATTCTTAAATAGAAAAATTGAGGTATGTTTCTTACAAAGTGTACACCATAACTGCTTTCCAAATGACACAGACCTTTATCTAAAATGTGTTTTATTTCAAAAGATAAATAAAAACAGAAAATAACCCTAAATATTCAACATTTACAATGAACTTTGTTTTAGTTGCAGTTATTTACATGTGCTAGCCTTCAGTGGAAACTGTGCGATACTCCCAAGCAACAAGGGTCATGCCAGCTGAACAGTAGGTAGTGTCAGTCATGCCTGAATACTATCAGTGAGAAAATGAGCACCAATCTTCATACAGTGTTCATCAGTTAATAGTTTTCATAAAACAACTAACAAACACAGTGTGGCAAGTAGAGATCACCGGCAAAACACTATGCCATTCATATCCCAACAAGTGTGCACAAGAAAAACAAGGCTTATATAGAGGCTATGGAGTTTAGAAGTAGCATATTGAAATATGTGCCGTTCCAATATGCTTCTAGATATGAATGAACGACATATTCAAGGTAGCGCTATAGAGCCTCCTCAGTTTCAGAGTCACAAAGTCAGATTTCCTTTACTTTGCCCAGGAGGATTTTGCCGTTGGTGTGGCGGTGCGCACTCCCATTCTCCAGGTGTTTCCCATTGGACACCACAGCGATGGGCTCACTGGCTGAGCCGTTCTGTTTTGGCTTGTCCTCTGTGGTAGGGAGCCGCTTGCCCTTTATGTAGGCCTGAATCCAGAAGTTGGAGAAGAGGAGGAAGAAGAAGACGCCATACATCCAAATGAGGTGGATCCAAAGGGGAACCTGATAGTCACACTTTTCCATGAAGTAGTACTGGCTGATGTGAATGGAGACCAGGACAAACTGTGTCTGTAAAACAACAGGAAAAGCACAGGTTGTTATTAACAATAAAATTCTAACCCAGAACCACAAAATCCAATACGCCCAAAAATAAAAATTATTAGATATCTATCAATCTATCGAGACAGAGATAAAAGGGACATACAAGCTGGATGGCAGTCATGTACTTCTTCCACCACAGGTATTTCTGGAAGCGAGGTCCTGCAGCAGATAGTCCATAGTAGAAGTACATGATAACGTGGACAGTTGAATTCACCAGGGCATGGAAGGAGCCCATTCCTCCAACTTGAGGGGAATAAAAAAACCCCACATGAAATGACATACAACTGTAAGTACAATTTACCCCCAATGTATTGTTCTGGCCTTGTCTTTTAATTTCTCTGGATGCAAAGTAGTACAATGACTGGCAAGAGCACTCTGTAATCGGAGGTTATTTTAGGCTATGTCCCGGGCAAAAATGCTTATTTATGCACAGTGTGTGTATGTTATGTATGGAGTGCCTTACATAAATAATATGGTGAGTAAACTTTACCTGGAGTCAAGGTGACGCCCCACCACCACGTCCAGGGCATGAAGGAGTGATGGAATACATGGAGAAACGTGATCTGGTTTTGTTTCTTCCTCAGCACAAAGAATACCTCAAATAAAAAAGAAGACCAGGCTAAAGTTAATATGTATAAAAGATAGGTCGCAAAAAGGTCGGACAGTTAACTAGAAAGGGAAAAAGAAATTGAATAAAAAGATGAAAACATCCTTACTGTGTCAATGAGTTCGATGAATTTTGAGAAATAAAACAACCAAGCCACTCGAACCATCTGTGGGGAGGCGAAGAAGAAAAATGCTGTAATGTCAAATATGTAACTGCAGATACTAATCTTTATTTCTCAAGCTGTCAGAGCAGCCCAGACATAAAAGTCAGCATACGTTTTTCCTTTAGGACGCAGTAGGGTTGAATAAAGTGATTTAGACATTGAGGGCTCCTCAGCTCTTAGGCAAATGAAGAACACTTTGGCTTACCCGAAAGGCCTGCGGGCTCTCTGAGGTGTCAATAAGATCACATCTCCACGTATAGGTGGTGCCCCATCCAGACATCAAGAACTAGACGTCAGCAAGACATCAGCAGCCGTTATCAACATTCCACAAGCATCTTTGGTTTATCGCAAAATATGCATCATAGACAGCAAACAGCTTCACTTGTCAGTCGTCATGTTTACCTCATATACTATGTAGGCGTTCAGTAAAACCATGCTGAGGTTGTAGACAATCATGGCTGTGTTGAGACGGAAGGGCTTGCGGTTTGCCATAAGGCGAGGTCCAATGTACACTGAGAGGACGATATAGGCCAACAGGATGGTGGTCATCTGAATGGGGCCCTGCATCAGTGGGTAGTCTCTGATTCGGGGATCTGGCAAGCGGGTGGGAGAAAAAAACAAAACACACTCTTCATTGTCTCAGTGGGTCACACACAAATATCTGGGAGGGTCAGTGGTAAATGCAGTTTATGCAAAGTTTTGGGCAGAAGCAAAAATGCCCTTTTTTAGTATGCCATCTGGCCACAAGGTATTGATTCAAATATCAACAAGGCTGAGGTGTAAAGCTATAACAGAGACACTTACCAGTTCTCGAATGTAGATAACTGTAGAGTTTTAACATGTTTGATACAGCTTCCCGCAGCATGGTGACTGCTAGCTTCTTGTCCTATTAAACCCCTGGGAGAAAAAAATAAAATAAAAGACAAAAGAGTCAAACACCAGGCGACGAAGCCAAGCTGAAAGTGAGGCTGGTTGGGCAGGTGAGCGACAAAGTGACACGTCCACCTGCTTTCCCCACTGACTGAATAAACAGGAGACAGCTGCATAGCCTCATCAAACACCCCTCAGTGCCCTTATGTACAACCTTTGGGGAAAAAAAATACACAGAGAAATCTGTTTCAGGAGCTCCTTTGACTGCCTTAAAAACTGTAGCATGGAAAATCCTCACTGTTTTAACTGTGTGCTTCTTTCAAAAGCAAAAGCTTTATTTTATTCAGAAAGTCAAAAAGAAAATTGACACAGCACCACAAAACAGAAATGAATGAATGTTTCATCAAGGATTGTGAAACGTCTGAGTTCTGCTGTCAGCCTGAACACAATGAAATACTCTCTTGCTGACTAACAGAGCAAGTAAAACAGGTGAGGCAGAGAACCTGGCCTTCATGGCCAGCCTAACCAATCAACTCAACTATCAAGATATGAGCTGATTAGGGGTTTCCAGGGAGTAAATCTACAGAACAAAAAAGGAACTCTCTTTTAAAGCAGAAGAATTAATGTTTTGTGTTCTAGTCCAGAACATTTTTATTTTACTATTAAACAGAAAATGTATGTGGAAAAAAGGCACTCTAACCACAATGAACCAAGAAGACTTTCTTTTCACAGGAGCAGCACAGATACAAATGTATAATCTCAGACACCTGAAACCACTGAAATACTTAGTGTGTTAGAAACGACA